CCACCAGTTGCTTCTTGTCCTGCCTTCAGGTGCTTTGGAAAATAGCTTGATTCCCTCTTCTTTATGGCAGCCCCTGAGATATTGGAACACTGCTATCATGTCCACCACCAAGTTGGTTGCAAAATTCTAATTACAATACCCCCCCTGCTCCCAGTATGTCAGCTATTCACTTCTTTGAAGGAGAGATCAGAGGAGATATCCCAAATAATCTTTTATGATTGTCTTGAATCCATCCTCCTTTGGCAATAGGGAATCTGGTCGTGATAGGGAAAATTTCTGTGTATTTCTGCATTTCCATGCAGAACTATCAATTGAACAATCCAGAAAGTTGATCTCAATCCTTGATGGTGTAAAACCCATTGCTGTTTTATTCTGTTCATATGAACTCATCCTCAACCGGATGATGGTGGTCACTGCAGGTAGATGAATTCAGATTCAAAGAGAACAATTGGCTTAGTGTATGGAAAGCTTTGTACTTTTTGCAGCTGCCCACAAGCTTGGTTTGGAAATGTGCTAACAGTCAGGAGAGGGGCTGAGTCCTTCCTCTCCGTTTTTTTTCCACTGTTCATGAAAAAGTTTCATTTAATTTTGTCTTTTAAAAGTTGAGACCCATAAAACTGAACAATCTCTGCTCAAAGGTGGTGATGGTGGTGTGGAAAAGTTAGCAAAAGTTGGACTATTATATGCTCATCAAATCCCTTTAAAGCAGTGGTTCTCAATTTTTTTAATGCCGCGACCCCCAACCGGTCGTAAGTTGAGGACTACTCAACCGGTCGTAAGTCGAGGACTACTCAACTGGTACAGCACCGTTTGCAGAATGGGACTTTTGGCAGGCTCAGCAGGGCAGAGACAGCCTGGACAATTCCTATTGGCTTTTGAAAGCCAATAGAATTAGACTCTTTCAAGAGAGTCTATTCTATTGGCTTTCAAAAGCCAATAGAATAAAAGGGAGTAGCACAGCTAATGGTGGACTGCGTTGTTTGGCGACCCCCGTGAAATGGTCGTTCGACCCCAAATGGGGTCCCGACCCACAGGTTGAGAACCACTGCTTTAAAGTGCTTGTTTGTTTTTTATCCTATCTATCTATCTATCTATCTATCTATCTATCTATCTATCTATCTATCTATCTATCTATCTATCTATCTCATCTAATCTACTACTCAGAGTCACTTTATTTATATATTTATCTGGAATTTTAAAGCATGGTAAATCTTAAGCAGGAGGCCAATTTATGGAATTGGAGCATTGTTCATGGATGGCTCCATTATTTTCGCCAGGCCTTAGTTGAGGAATTCAGAGCAGAGTCTCTGATGACAAATGAAGCAAGAAAGTAATATGGGAGAACCTCTCCACTGATTGGACCTCACTTATTACAGTGGAACATGCTTCTATGTAATCAGGATCCAGAATGCATCTTAAAATCATCAATGCAGACATGGAGGAATTGAAAAATACAACAGTTTAACTCAGAGATGGCCAACCTTGATAAATTTTAAGACTTGTGGACTTAATTCCCCAGCCAGCCATGAGGATAGCAAAACAAGCAAATTAATAGTTAAAATGGACTGGGGTGGCTAGGAGTTCAAGTTCACGAGTCTTAAAGTTGCCAAGGTTGGGCACCCCTGGTTTAACTGAACGGCAGATTAAATTATATTAAACTAATGCAGAGAAGAAGCTTCGAACAACATCATTCACTGAAAACTTTCTGCATTAATAATGGCTTCGGATATCCTAATACGGTTTGCTTTGCCCACAATTCCTTTGAAAAATTCTCAGGGACTGGGGATATGCATCCAGTTAGCCACAGACCATAGTTTCTAAATCCCAGTGGCACACTTCATACATCTTACTCCTGATAGAGTGTAGACCAGGGGTCTGCAACCTTGCCAACTTTAAGACTTGTAGACTTCAGCTCCCAGAATTCCTCATCCAGTTATACTGGCTGAGGAATTCTGGGAGCTGAAGTCCACAAGTCTTAAAGTTGGCAAGGTTGCAGACCCCTGTCTAGACAATAGGCCAAACAGGCTGGATGAATCCAGCTTAAATGAAGAAATGGGGCCTGTAGCAAGATGGTTTCTTGTTTAAGGACCACTGACACTGTCTTCCTCACCATACCACACTAGACCATCATTCCACTTTCTACAACTACAGGTTAGTCCTTGACTTATGACCACAATTGAGTCCAAAATGTATGTCACTAAGTGAAACATTGGTTAAGTGAATTTTGTAATGCTGCCAAGAAACCTACTTTGTTATATTCATGAAGCACCAGGAATTGAGTTTGACCTGAAGATTTGTAGCTTGATTAACCCTGGGATTCCTTCAGGGCTGTTGATACCACTCTCCCAAGACTCAGGGATACTGCAAATTGGTAACAGAAGAATGCTTCAACACTGGAGGTTTTTAAGAAGAGATTGGAAAGCCATTTGTCTGAAATGATATAGGGTTTCCTGCCTGAGCAGGGGGTTGGACTAGATGACCTCCAAGGTATTATTATTATTATTATTATTATTATTATTATTATTATTATTGATCATTGCACAGTCAGCCAAATATTCAGACTGGATTTGGCATTTTGTCTACCTATTGAATCCTTACCCAGGACCTGGGATAGCCAGATGTGGATGTTTGATGGTATTACAGATATCATCGCAGGATGGAAGCAGTTCCTAATAAGGCCGCCTTTTGCAATTGACTAATAGTGAATTTGTCAATGCCAATGGTGTTCAAGTGGTGCTCCAGTCATTTTGGGATTGCACCCAAGGCGCCTATTACTATTGGTACTACCCTTGCTTGCTTTTGCCACAGTCTTTCTATTTCTATTTGTAGATCTTTGTATTTTGTTATCTTCTCCAGTTCTTTCTTGTCTATTCTGCTGTCTCCAGGCACTGCCCCAGGTCCACTATCCAGACTTTTTTGTCTTTTTTATCGACAATTGTTAAGTCCGGGGTGTTATGTTGCAGGTGCTTGTCTGTTTGAATTCTGAAGTCCCAGAGCAGTTTAATTTTATCATTTTCTATGACTTTCTCTGTTTTATGATCCCACCAGTTTTTGCTTACAGGCAAATGATATTTCTTGCAGATCTTCCAATGCACCATTGTTGCTATTTTGTTATGCCGCTGCTTGTAGATGTTTGATGGCATTACAGATATCGTTGTTGTTGTTGTTGTTATTATTATTATTAAATGCTTGTATTCCTGCCTATTGGGTCATCCTGAGCCAGCTAAATCCTTGCATCGCCAAGCTATTTCCCCTCTGATTTCTACCATCTGATAGCACCACCAACATAGCCCCATTCCTCCTAGACCGATCTGTTCAATCTCGGGAAACCTCATCTAGTCAAGGGCAATCCCAGCACAAAGGAAGCAAAGCAAAAATCGCAGGCGACAGGTCTAGGCAGGGCGACCGAATGAGTTGGGCACGAAGCATTTCCCAGTGCGGCAAGACAACGCTCGTTTCTGTGCTTACCTTTCCCGCAAGGGGGCGCTGCCCTCGCGCGGAAAAGCCCGCTGCGGCCCCCTCGGCTGTCCCCGCATCTACTCCGTGGGCTCCTCCTTCTCCCCTCTCTTCACACGTCTCTCCCACGGACCCAACTTAAATCTTCTGAAGCAAGCGGGCGGGCGGGCGGGCGGCGGCAAGACTCCGCGAAGAACACGCCGGCGCCTAGGCAACGTTCCTTCAGTTTCTGATACGTGTAAAATGCAACCCAGCCCCATCGCTTACTCTCTCCCTTGAACCGGTCATATGCCTGCATGAGTTGCGTGAGGTCAAAAAAGTCAAGATGGACGACGCAACGGGGCGATCTGCTTTTTTTTTTTTTAAAAAATCTTGTATATAACGGGCAGAGCTTTATTCACATCTTTACAGGCGCCATCTTAAAGTTTTATTGTCCGTATGCCTTTTTTAAATCTGTAAACCACCCAGAATCACTTTGATAGTGAGATCAAAGTAAAAATCCCAACGAAACTCCTGGTTAAGTTGGCGGGATTCACTGCTAACTGCTTAATATCCATAGAAACTGGCCTTCCTTCGGTTATCAAACTGCAGCTTCAGCCACCACTGCTGTGTGTGTGTGTGTGTGTGTGTGTGTGTGTGTGTGTGTGTGTGACTATATCATATCTCATATCATAGAATAGAACAATAACTTTATTGTCACTTTGAATGTACGCTAATCGGCATACATTAAAATGAAATTTTGTTGCATACAGCTCTCAAAGAGTTACCACCTCCAATATACACTACATAAATATGACAAAAATAAATACAGAATTATGCATATACCCACATACATCATATCATCTTATCATATATATCTTATATCATATATATATCATATATCATATCATATACTGTCTCTTATCTATCTGCATAGTACAATATATAATATACATAATATATAAAGTTGGCGCATTGTATAAAACTACGAGAAATCGCTATTTTTAGGATAAACGGGAAGGAGCTATTAGCCAACCTGACTGGGCAACCTTTTGCCTTCAGGGATAGTTACTGCGAAGCAAGAAATCAGGTACCCACCGTAAGGCAGATCAGGCTATCTGGTTTCCATGACGCTCTGTCTTCAGAACAGCGTATCTCGAAACACTGATTCCTGTGATCTTGAGGACTAGTTACATGGATTTGTTTTCGGAAACGGTCATATAACCTTAGAATCCGATCAAGCCCGTGTTGCGTTGATGCGTGCATAGAGGGCTCTGTGGTTTGCTGGAAGTGTTATTGTTTCATTGAGCAAGCATTAAAAGCCCTAGCCGCTGGATGCTTTTACTAGCTCAAAAATAATAAAGAGCATTTGGAACAGCTAAAACCGGAAGGGAGGGAGTCTTTCAAAAAATAAAAATAAAAAAAAATTAAAACTTGGCCTTAGAACGAATTACTGTTTTTCACAAAATCAAAATGTACAAAACAAGTTTTAAAAGTTTATTCGTTCTCTTCCTCCCCCCCCCCCCCTTCCTTCATTCTCGCCTAATTTAAAAACGTGCCTCATTCAGGTCCATGTGATTTATGCTCAAATGCTTTGGCAGAGAATTAAACGACGCAGCTGCAGTCCGAAGTACATTTGTTAAAAAATGGACGATCGATCGCCTTTTCCCCACTGGCAGCTAACCCTGGCCCGTTCCGGTGTGGGTCTGGCATATTGTGTAGTGGGGGAGATTAGCTGTTTCTGATCCGACTGGGTTGCGAGTTTCCCCGCCAAGCGAGGCCTCAACCCCGGAAATGACTAGGCACCAGGGGATTGTGGATCCAGTTCTTTTTGTAGAAGACCTCTTCCCTATCCTCGACGCTCGCGTGGGAATGGAAGACCGGGAGGGCGTCAAACTCGACGGGAAAATGCGCCAGCTTTCACGCATAACTGCTAGCGTCGTGGAAACGGTATAACAAAAGTTACAGATTTTACGACGTAACTGACAAGGTAGCGACAGTCACTGCCAAACCGGGGGCGGGGGGGGAAGAGGGACGCTCTGCTACTCCCCCCCCCAAGGAGGCAAGAACTAGTGCTTTTCAGAATCAAAATTCAGAATCAGAATAGAGCTGGAAGGGACCTTAGAGGTCTTCTAGTCCAGCCCCGAGAACCTATTCCATTTCAGACAAGTGGCTGTACCCAGTCTCTCCTTAAAAACCTCCAGTGATGAAGCACCCACAACTTCTGAAGGCAAAAAAATGCTCCACTGGTTCAATTGTTCTCACTGTTAGGAAGTTTCTCCTGAATTCCAGCTTGCTTCTCTCCTTGGATTAGTTTCCATTCGTTGTTTCCCGTCCTGCCCTCTGGGGCTTTGGAAAATAAGTTGATCCCCTCCTCCTTGTAAGAGTCTTTCAGCTGTATGAGACTTCCCCGGGTGCTAAAAATCAATTTATATGCGCCACTGAATCCGGATCAGGGCTTTCCCCGGGGGAGTTAGATCCAGGGCGCTTTCCACCGATATTTTGGGTTGAAGGGCCCTGAGAACAAGGGGTAACTCCCTCCACCGCCCTTCTCCTCCTTTAGAGAACCCCTTGAAGTTTGGGGTAATGGTTTTCTCGGTCTGTTTTTGAGAGAATTGGGAAGTTCCCGGAGATCTGAACTGAAATGAGCAAACTCGGCCCCAACGGGGGGGGGGGTGAAGTTCACCTGTCATCTGAAGCCACAAGGTGGTTTGTTTGGTTCCGGCTTGCGCTGGGAGGAGGGGGGGGGAGCCCGACGGTTGGGGTTCGTAGGCTGTGTTGGAGAACTTAGCCTATTTACCTCCATGCAGCCAACTGTGGTTGAGTCACTAAACCACGGTTAAATAAACGATGGCTTAGCGGGATTTCTGAGTCTAGTTAAAATAACTGTCCTTTTCTCCTTTCGGTTTGGAATGATCTCGTCAGGGCAGGTTTTATTTATTTTTTAATGCACTACTTTGGATCCAGGTTTTTGGAAGTGCTTTCTTAAAATCTCCTTTTCAATTCATTTCTTGCACATTTACCTGATAAGGGAACCTTGCCGGACACAAAAAGGCTTCTGGCTGAGTGAGGATGCGTGGGCTTGGAGGAGATTGATCTTGTTATCTTTGTGAGTACACTAAACTATTGCAAATCCCTATAAACCCTCAGTTAATTTGTTCTTGTCATTTTCTTATGTGCAGTCACAGCCTCGGATCCCCTCCAAAGTAGATCCTTTTGATTTCAAAACGAATTGATATAATTTCCATTGAAGAAATTGTCCAAATTGTTATTTTTTGTCTTGACCATTGCATTTGCCAGTTGTTGGATGGGATAATTGCAATTTCCAGCATTTTCAAGAACTAGAAACTGGAATGTTTCTTTGGGAAGGCAGCCTACTTGCTCAGCTAGGGAAAAGCAAAGTCTGTTTAGATTACCCCAAGGAAATCCACACCCTTGAGGAATTTTCCTGCTTACTTTTGGTGCTGTGAGAAACCCACCAGGCAAACTCAAACATACCACCTGGCATCAGAGAAGGCTAAGATCCAGGTGGCTGGACTGGAGCCCCTCTCACCATGCAAGAAGCAGTTCAGCACAGCTATAACAAGTTCTGCTATGCTGGTAAAGCCTGGTTAATTAGTACCTGCATCAATTTCATTGCTTGCACCGTCAACTTAGGGACATATTAGTATCAAGCGATGAAATATTTAAATTGAATTAACTTAAACATTTCTGTGTAGTGTTATAGATAACCTTTTCATGTTGCCTCGCATCAGCTTGATGCATATCAGTCATATCAGCTCAGATATTCAGCTAGTTGCCAGGCTACCAAAGTTGGGGATTTTAACTATATATCCTTGTGAGAAAAACTACCAAACAGAGCCTTGTCTGGTTCCCCCCCCCCTCTCTTTCCACTGTTATCCTTTCCATTTCAAAAACTGCACTGTGAGAGTTGATTTACAACCTCTTTGGAATCAAGATGAGATTTATGCATATACTTAATTTCACCCATTAATGCAGATTGCATATTTCCCTAGAGCAGGGGTAGGCAACCTTGGCTCTTTTATGACTCGTGGACTTCAACTCCCAGAATTCCTGAGCCAGCATAGCTCAGGAATTCTGGGAGTTGAAGTCCACGAGTCATAAAGGAGCCAAGGTTGCCTACCCCTGCCTAGAGGCAACCACTGTTTACCATTCATCCTGAAAGAAAATACAAATAGTCTTCATTTAGTTGGGACTGGCAGCTTGGTTGTTAAACAAAACAGTTACTAAGTGTTTATGATGTGATTTTAGTGATCCTTTTACAAACTTGTGAAGGTCATAAATGCAAGCATTGGTCACAAGGTTACGTTTTCATCACTGTCATAGTGGTTGCTAAATCAGGTAGTTGCTAAAAGAAGATTAGCATGCATGCAACTGGAAAAAAAACCATAATAATTTTTCAATTGTATATCAGTAGGTGCAAATATTGAAAAGACACGGTGATGCTACTACCACTTTGGATAAATACATTCACAGAAGAAGAAAGGGATGCAACAATGTGATGTTGTAATGAATGTAACAATGGGGGCTCAGTGTTATCTCTTGAGTTAGCAAGCATGATACGGGAGTCCTTGAGTTAAGAATGTAAATAAGCCCCTCAATTAGGGTCACAAATTGTGATGGTTATAAAGCAGGTCATCACATGACTGGATCCAATTTTACAACTTTTTTTTGTGGTGGCCATTACGAGAATACGGCAATTGTAAATCAAATTGGGTTACCGTTAAGGGAACTCGTTGTTTGCTATAGGGCTGGTTGTGCCAGAAAATGAAAATAAGTGACGGTTTACGTAGTAAATCACAGTCACATGACTGTGAGGCACTGCAAATGGATGTAAATGCGATCCAATTGCCAAGTCCCCAAAGTGCAATCCTGTGACAGTGGAGGAATGGGGAGGGGAAGGCGATGTCAGAACTTTGAAATGGGGTCCGAAGTAGCTTTGGGGCCATTCATTGTAACTTCAAATGATCACTAAGTGATTGGTTATAAGTCAAGGATTAATGTAATGAGGGATCATAGTTGAGAGTCCCATATCCTATTTATGAACCCCGCAGAGGCATCTGGACTGTCAGGAACAGCTGTAGCCTCCACTTGATTCCTTTAGGTCAGTGCTTCTCAATTATTTTCTGTCATGCCCCCCTAGGAAGAAGAAAACATTTCGCGCCCCCCGCGCGACTGTAAAAATTTTTTTTCTGTACAGAGGACCGATTTCCGGGTCTAAAAGTCACATGGGCGGGTTTGGCCAATCAGGATAAAGCATCATGTCTATCCAATCAGGTCCTTTGCATGTGTCACGTGCGTTGGCGGTCATGTTGTCCTCCGCGTCGGGCTGCCGCTTGCGAGTGAGTCGGATGATCCGATCTAGAAATCCAATATGACAGTATTTGCCGAGGTCAAACGAGCCCCCCTTTACGGAGCCTCGTGCCCCCCCTGGGGGGCGCGCCCCACTATTTGAGAAGCACTGCTTTAGGTCAAGAGTGTCCAACCTTAATAACAGGGGTCTTCAAACTTGGCCCTTTTATAACTTGTGGACTTCAACGCCCAGAATTCCTCAGCCAGGCTTGCCTGGCTGAGGAATTCTGGGAGTTGAAGTCCACAAGTCATAAAAGGGCCAAGTTTGAGGATCCCTGGTTTGAGACTTGTGGACTTTCACTCTCAGAATTCACCAGCCAACCATGGGAATTCTGGGAGTTGAAGTCCGTAGGTTTTAAAGTTGCCAAAGTTGGATGCTTTTTAACTATTTTTATGTTTTTATCATGGCTGTGGCTGACATACAATGTGCCCTTGTGCAGAATTCCACATAGTACTCTCACCCCCGCTTAAAATATTCAAAATGTTTTTATCTTTTCTCAGGTGTTCTCTTTCCCGATAGCTATGCCACATAGCTTTTGAATTTTTTTTTTTTTAAAAAAATGTACAACTGGTTCTCCGATCTCTTCATCTGGTGCCCTTATGCAGCATGCAGTTTGCGCACCGGGTGGCAGCCCTGGTTCTTACAGTCATCGAATAACAGAAAACATCTTTCAGAAATATATCCAAGCATTTGGTTATCCAAATATTGAGATCCACTGGCATATGGATCTTCCCCATCTAATATCAGTTTACATGTATTGACGTGGTCCAAGTTCTACATAGTTTAGAAATGCCATGATGATTTATTTCCCTCAGCCATGGGTTGGCAAACGAGACCTCGGCATGTTTTAAAGACACCTTTTTACCTATCACATTTCAGCAGAATGTTCCAGTTATTCTTAAAATTCTGAAAGTTTATTTCAGTAACCATTTCCTTGTTTACAGTTTTACAAGGTTCTAAATATTCCATGTGCATAATGAAATCTGACATCACATGGCAGAAACACTTAGCCTTGCCGGATAAATTTATTAGCAGATGTTGCTGGAGGCAAAACACCTTTTTTGATGCCCAAGTTTCTCTAAAAGTCATATAATGCAAATGTTTTGCTGATTTTTTTCCCCCCCTTCTCCTCCACAGGCTTTTGGTGTGCATGCACAAGTGTGTGTGTATATACACACACACACTTCTTCTCCAACTTGAAGTGATTCTGGACAGCTGACAATTGGATAGAAGCAGAAAAATCAAAGAAATTTAAAAAAATGAAACTCAGGACCCAGAATCAACAAAAGGAATCACACAATAACAAAATGAATGGAATAATTAAGGTTAATCGTTTTGATGATCCATCAAAAATATTTCATTCTGAATGGGTGAATCTTACTCTGTGGTCCAGAATCTGGGGGAAGAATTGGGCTTTTAGGGCCTTTTGGAAGACCGTGAATGTTAGGACCATCCAAACCTTGGGGATGCTCTAGTGCAGAGATCCCCACTTTATGACTTGTGGACCTCAACTCCCAGAATTCCTTAGCCAGCCATGAAATAAAGGCATTTTTTAAATATTTCAATCCCGTCCTCCACTTCTGCCATTATGATAGCATAGATAGATGTTCTATCTATCTCAGCGGTTCTCAATCTGTGGGTCGCGACCCCATTTGGGGTCGAACGACCATTTCTCGGGGGTCGCCAAACAACGCAGTCCGCCATTTTTCCCCCTTTTCCTTAGCTGTGCTACTCCCTTTTATTCTATTGGCTTTCAAAAGCCAATAGGAATTGTCCAGGCTGTCTCTGCCCTGCTGAGCCCGCCAAAAGTTCCATTCTGCAAATGGTGCTGCAAGTTGTCTGCAGTGAAGGCGAGCTGTCTGGAAGTTTCCACTCCTCCCTGCTGAGCAACTACTAAAAATGTAAGTAAAAGAGGGCCAGGGGTGGGAGGTGGGAGGCCGGTGGGCGCAGGGAGGGTTGCTGGCGCACATGGGGCCCGGCGGGTGCCTTACCTCCCTTGGGCTGGGCCAGCTGGTGGCCCAGCCGGTGGTCGCTCTGTGCCGTCGCTGCCCCTTGCCAGCTATGCCTCAGCTGGCGCAGGGGGTGGCACCATGCATGTGCAGCGCTCCCGGGCAGGGAAAGTCCTCGACTTATGACCAGTTGGGTAGTCCTCGACTTGCGACCGGTTGGGTAGTCCTCGACTTACGACCGGTTGGGGGTCGCGGCATTAAAAAGGTTGAGAACCACTGATCTATCTGGATTAGGTTTACTGTGACCCTCATTGGTACATTCCCTTGCTTGGAAAGAAGGAAGGGGAAGAGGAAGAAAGGAAGGGAAAGAAAAGGAAAGGATAGGAAAGGACGGGAAACGAAAGGACAGGAAAGGGAAGGGAAGGAAAAGAAAGGAAAAAAGAAGGGAATAAATTCTTTTCAACTTCATCTGATCTAACAAAGTGAACAGGTTTCTTCATTTATTGTCCGCTCAGAAAAAATTGTTTTAAAAAGCTCAACCTTTCACTGTTGCTCTAACGCAGTGTTTCCCAAACTTGACAATTTTAAGGCATGTGGACTTCAACTCCCAGAATTCCACAGCCAGCAATGCTGGCTGTGGAATTCTGGGAGTTGAAGTCCACATGCCTTAAAATTGTCAAGTTTGGGAAACACTGCTCTAATGAAAAGCAAATGGCTGCGAAAAGCAGTGATCTGTGCCTGAAGAGGAGGCCGCATTTCTGACAGGGAACAGAATCGTCCTTTCCAAACGGAGAAGTTTGCCTCCAATGAAGTGCAGCAGGTGAATTGGAACATTCTGCTTCAGAACTTCTGGTCAGGAAAGACAACTCCGGACACATGGCAGAAAAGGATGAATGGAGGTTGCCTTCCAGGTGGGCTGGGGCAGGCAAAGGATGGTATTGTGGCTTTCCTGTCCTAGAGAAATCATCAGTGGCTGGTACTCCTGCTAGAGCCAGCTGGTCACGTGGGCCAGCACTTAGACCTGGCTGTTCAATATTCAGGCTTGCAGCATTTTTTGCTTTGCCAAAGGTTTCTGTTATAGGGATCTCTCCCTCCCTCCTTCCCTCAAATGAGGAGGGAGAAATATTAATTTTTATGGTCTTGCCTTTGCTGTTTGGTTGATGTTGGCTGGGCAGGAAATCCCAATCACAAGGTTAATAGTGTGAAAGACTACTTCACACTAAAATCAACCAACCTAGTGTCCTTCAAATGCTCAGGCCACAACATCCATCATCTCTAAATGCTGCTATTGGCTGGCATTGTTGAGCTGGAGGTCAGTAGATGGGCAGAGAAAGACTGGATGTGCCTTCAAAGAGGTTGGCCACTGCATTTTGGCAGTTCCCTCTCACCTCCCCCTCCCATCCCCATTTAATATAACTCTGCACTAGAAAAAAAAAAAAGAAAGCTGGTGTGGTGTAGCGAATAAGGCATCAGCCTAGAAACTGGGAGACTGTGAGCTCTAGTCTGGCCTTGGGCCTGAAACCAGGTGGATGACCGTGGGCCAGTTAATTTCTCTTAGCCCTAGGAAGGGGACAGTGGTAAACCATTTCTGAAAAATCCTGCCAAGAAAATTTCAGTGGCTTGTTCAGACGATCTCTGATTATCAGACTCAATTTAAAAAAAAAAAAGGGGGGGTGGAGGAGAAAGGAAATGGTCATTAATGCAGTGGGAAACATGGGTAGTCTTCTTTAAGGTCAGACAAGATTTTTACACCTCTGCAGCAAGTGGCTGCTTCGTGACAAGGGGCAGAATAACCTTTGTCTCAAAAGATTAATTAAAACAGCCACAAGGCTGATCTGCAGCAAAATAACAAGCAACTACTCTTCTATAGGAGGTAACGTTTGGTTATCGTTACTGATAAATTTAATGTTAACAAGCACATGGTTAACGAATATCTTTAGATAAGTTAGCAAGAGCCGTGGTGGTGCAGTGATTGGAATGCAGTACTGCAGGCTAATTCTGCCAAACGCCAGCAGTTCGATCCTGACTGGCTGAGGGTTGACTCAGTCTTCCATCCTTCCGAGGTTAGTAAAATTAGGACCCAGATTGTTGGGGCCAATATGCTGAAATTTGTAAATTACTCATGAGTGCTGTAAAGTACTATGGAGGAGTACATAAGTCTAAGTGCCATTGTTATTGCTATTGCTATATAACAACTTCCCCCAACCTGGTGATCTCTCTTATTATGGAGCCACACAACCAGTCAATTGTCCAAGGAGTTACCAGGAGGGAAAAAGTTGACGTACAGTAAGATCAGTTAATCTGGTAGATTCAATGACCTTTTAAATCATTGGTTTACCTTCCGATTACCCAAAGAGGCAGGCATTCTTTATTGGGATTCACTTTTTTTCCCTTTTTGGCTGACTGTGTAAAGTGCTTAGCGAGGGTTGTAAAGCACTATGAAGCAATATATAAGTCTAAGAGCGATTGTTATTGCTAATTACTGGTATACAGCTGCAAATGATCTCATGGAGCGGAAGGCCTTCACTTTCAGTCTTGGTGATACTGGTGATTTTCATCAGTTCAGCCTGTCTGGAAAGCCCTAGGCTGGGGAAAACTGCATAGCAACTATACATACACACAACAGAGGAGCATTCTCCAATCTGGGGTGCCATCAGATACATCACACACCCATAAACTGTATTCCCATAAAAGTCCAATGCAACTGTTTGGAGGAAGCTAATTTTGTTCTTTTCCACAACATTGCTCAGACCTTTAGACATCAAAGGCCAATGACAATAACAATTCATTCAGAAAGCAGAAGCACATAACAATAGCTTTATGTTCCGGTCATGAAATAACAGCATGGCCCTCACCCTCTTAAGTCTTTAGAAATCTCTTTAAAAGCCGGTTCTTCTCCCAAGGCATTCGGACGGAGGCGTAAGTGACCCCCACATGTAGTTTGAAAGTTGTTTTCAGCAAGATCTGTCCACCGTAGATTATTTTATGGTTTCTCTAGATGAGTGGCTATATAAATTAAACAAACATACACATAATTTGGTAAAAAAGGGACCGTATGTTTCAAATGGCTTATCTCTGAGGGAGTTGCAAAATGAAGTAGGATAGACCTAAGGACGTGTCCATTCCTAACAAACCTGATAAATTTTATATAACTGAGTTGCTTCTGTACTTTATGGATAAAAAAAAATTGCTGAAATAGGAGTCAGAAGTAGGAGTTTTTCAACTAACTTTTGTTGCCTTTGTTCTACCCACAAAGCACTGACACTTTCATTGTTACTCAGGAGGCTATCTGGAGGTCAGGAGGCGACAGGGTTTGTTTGGATTTCCTAAAATTGTGCCTCCCTTTAAGCCTTGTTAAAAACATTGTTTTTAAAGTGTCTGTGAACTTTCTGATACTCAAAGTTGCTGCTATTTTTACTCCTCACCCCTGCCCCTGGAGCTTCCAGTGTTTTCAAAGACTATGAGTCTGTCACACTTGAAATATTCCTTGCAATATGAACCTCAGATTTCTCTAAGTGCGTCAGCCTAGGACAGTGGTGGTGAACATGTGTCACGGGTGCCAGAGGCGGCACTCAGAGCCCTTTCTGTGGGCACGCACACCGTCGCTCCAGTCCTAGGTCTTCAGCTGGGTTTTATAAAACCTTTTTGCTTTAGGCCTCTACTGCCATGTGCAAAAAAAAAAAAAAAAAAAAGGTTCAATCAATCAATTTCAACTTCTTGCGGGGAGGGGGTGGAAGATCTCGCAGAGTTGGAACTGATTGATTGAACTTTTTACTCCCACACAGTCTGCTGTTACCACAGCAGACACGCCCACCCAATGGGCCACACCCACCCAATGGGCCACACTCACCCGGCACCCGACGATGTATAAGTGGGTTTTGGGTTGCAGTGTGGGCACTCGGTCTCTAAAAGGTTCGCCATCACTGGCCTAGGACTTGAGAACCCGAAGGGATAGTAATCAAATATTCAGATCTGTTTGCTGAAAATACACAACTTTTGTTCTGGCTCTTCATGTATAACTGGATAGGATGTTTGAAACGATAAATGGATCCATCTAACACTGTATACAGGTACTGTAGTCCTCGACGTATGCCCACAATTGAGCCCAAAATTTATGTCGCTAAGTGAGAAATTTGTTAAGCGAGTTTTGCTCCATTTTACGACTTTTATTGCCACATTTGTTAAGTGAATCACTGCAGCTGTTAAGTTAGTAACACAGTTGTTAAGCGATTCTGGCTTTCCCATTGACTGAATTGGTACCTATTAATCTACTTGCATTTGCATGCTTTTGAACTGCTAGATGGGCAGGAGCTGGGGCAAGGAATGGGAGCTCATCCCATTGCACGGCGCTCGGGTCTTGAACAAGCTCAGCGTCTTTAACTGCTGAGCCATCCCGACTCCTTATTGTGCTATTACTAATATGCAAATTGCTGATTGTGGAAAGGTTTATAAGAATGGTGGAACCATGTGAGAAAACACACCCTGAAAGATATGTTATTCCTCAGGGCTGATTAGGGATTTGAGTTAAAGAGCAACCGACATCTTGATCTATGTCTAGAAAGTGCAGCACAAATAAAGAATTCTGAGCTCGGTTCAGATATGGCAAAATCTGTTGCTTAGATTAGAATATGAACATGTTACATCCTTCCTGAAGACATTTGTGGAAGGAAATCTGAATGGAATTGGAAACTCTATTCCAGGAGTGTCAAACTCAATTTCATTGAGGGCCGCATCAGCATTGCAGTTGCCCTCAGGGGGCTGGGTGGGT